TTGGCAAACTGGAGTCATCCTGAGTTGTAAACGTGAATTGGAATGCAATTTGATCAACATTACTTTAGTGTCCATATAAATCAGGCCTGATGTGCAATAAGCATTTACTGTATCCTTCCGCGTTGTAGTCTTTCGATAATTAGCCATGAGTGTCCTTCATAGGCAAGTGAGATTTCATAAAGATTTACAGAAATCTGGTTTACGTTTGCTGAGACAGCATATACAGTAGGTGCCTTTACTCAAGCAAAGTCTTGATCGAAATTGCAGTTTGTATTTTAGCGTAATTTGTCTCGTTATTTTGATCAGATGGGTGGATTTAATCCGCAGAAAGCTTTTTAGTAAGGAGAACTGCATGTTTAATTCAGTTTATTTAAGACAGAAGGGCAGAAATTCGGCGAAATCGGAGTTTGCTATAGATCGAAAATATTTCCTATGCTATTCAGTAAGCTAGAACCCAACCCTCTGTTTTTGTGCGTTATTCTATAGGAAAATAGCAATATACGCAAGAAATGTTTAAAATATATCCATTGTTTTTCAAAAACCAGGAATAGTTTCAGCTTTAAGCATTATTTTTTGATAATGTCTGAAGATTTTTGTCACAACACGCAGTAAAATGGTTTTTACTGTATTCTGTTTTACCGCATCGAAGATTTGGGACCATAAAAAAATGCGAACATAAATATAAAACAAAGAAAATAATGGCTAACCCCAACAATCAAGCAACACGTCGGACCAAACCTTATCTTCGTCTTTCCAAGATGTGGCCGTGTGCCTAGTGGAATATAAAAAGATTTATTCACTGTGAAGTACTTGAAAGAAATATAATTATTTATGTACGGCCAAACAGTCGACAGTCTCCTCATCTGTGTGGAACAAATCAATAAAATCGCACATATCGTCCAAATTGTTTTATTATGCAGCATTACATGGCCAAACTGCAAGTAGTAATATTCTCCAAAATGTCATTGAAGGGCTCGGTTGGGCGATTTTTCGGATTCGCCATATTAGCTCAGAGTATCGTTCCATAACCACGTGGATCTTCATCATTGAACCAAGGGCTTCTTTGTGTTCAGACGCGGAGCTTACTCTAAAAGTAAAAATAAAAAACGGTCTGGATGTTTGGAGACGGTTGTGATCGCCGAAAGAGAATATATAATTGATTACTCCCGTGAATATGGAACAAGTATCTATAGTTTTATGTTATATAATATAGGGATAAAATTTTGAATAATTGAAAACCCCACGAACTTATTAGACCACCTATGCTTGCCGTTAAGCGAAATAAAACGTGCTGGTTCTTTTTGTAGTAATAAACTTTCTTTTAGTTTCCCCAATAAAAATATTCATGGTTAATGGGAGATGCGATGGACTTTTAGAGGCGGTGTTTTACTACATTTAGACGTCATTTGGACGTGGTACCTGTCTTCTGGTTAGGAATAGTCCTCTTTTCAAAGCGATTTTAGTACTGCTGAAAATGTCCTGGTTGGTAAAGTATTTATTTTAGTTCAATTTGTTTGCCAGCTGATCTTTCTTTTTTAGATATATCTGACGTTTTCTAAACAAATAAAAGTAGAGTATGCATTAATGAGATCGTTTTCTAATGCGTCATTCACTTCTTTCGTTTTTTTTAAAGAACGATGGACGAATATAAGGTACAACTGTCCCGCAGATTTAATTTGTTTTTTGCCTCGATGGTCTTGTCAAGTTTCATATTCCTATCGTTTCAGGTTACCTTCTCACTTCAACAAGTGGCAATTCAAAATTTATTGTTAACCCGGTCCGTTTGGCCTTTAGAGTTCGTCAGCAGAATCTGTGCGAAAAGGAACACCGGCGCTCGTCAATATATTAATAATTGCGAAGAACACGACTCGATCGCTGGGATAATACGTTTATTCGCCTGACGTTTCGACATCCGTCGCGGATTCATCATCAGATACATTAGCAGAAAACAGCAGCAGAAGCGGGTCTGCTGCTGTTTTCTGCTAACGTCTCTGATGATGACTCCGCGACGGATGTCGAAACGCCAGGCAAATAAACTTATCGTCCCACCGATCGAGTCGTCTTCTTCGCA